ATATATATATATATATATATATATATATATATATATATATATATATATATATATATATAATTTAAAGTTTTTGCATTCCATATAGCAAAGAGTATGTGTGTAACATTTGTTTTTTTAAATAAAAAGTCTTCAAATGTAAACAACTTATTAAAAAAACATCCCACAATGTAAATGAGTTGTCATTTATTAAGAATATGTCAATAACTCAATTAGAATAGAACCTTAAATAGAACCTTAACATTCTAATATGATGATATGTCATATTATGACGATGTATACAGTTGAGGTCAGAATTATTAGACCCCCTGTTTATTTTTTTCCCCAATTTCTGAACACACTTCTGCACATAATAGTTTAATAACTCATTTCTAATATCTGATTTATTTTCTCTTTGTCATGATGACAGTAAATAATATTAGACTAGATATTCTTCAGGACACTAGTGTTCAGCTTAAAGTGACATGTAAAGGCTTCACTAGGGTAATTAGGGTAACTAGGCAGGTTAGGGTAATTAGGCAAGTCATTGTATAACAGTGGTTTGTTCTGGAGACAATCCAACACTAATATTGCTGAAGGGGCGAATAATATTGACCTTAACATGGTGTTTAAAAATGTTTACACTGTTTTTTTTGGTCAAATAGTAAGGTGTTTAAGTACATTTCTGTCATCAGAAATTTGAAAAGAACGTATGCTGGGTTTTTTCCCTTTAGGAAAGTGTGAATTTGGTGTCCAGATGTTTCCAGATCCTTCAGTGGGCTGTAAATGTGTAATGTGTGTGTGTGTGTGTGTTTTTCTCTGATGGTGTGTGTTGTGTGTCTCAGTGTCACACTGCTGCTGCTGCTGCTGTTCTGGCCGGTTCTTTACTGCGCTCTGATAAACTGGACCAGTCTGAGGTCAAGAGTGTGTTGATGTGTTTCCTGCATGTGCTGAAGAGCATGTCTGAAGGTACACACACTCATGCACACAGACACATATGCGCACATGCGCACGCACACCTGTACACATTCATGCACACCCACGCACTCATGCACACACGCTCATTCACACACTTATACATGCATGCACATACACATACACACATGCACAAACACATCTACACACTGATGCACACAAACAAACACGCACATGCACACACACATGCACACGCATACGAATATGCACATGCACACACACACATACGCACATGCACACTCATATACACACAAACACATGCACACACTCACACAGTGGATTTGCTTTTTGTATTGTATCATGTACAAGTGTGTTTATTATGTTGGGATGTGTGTGTTTGTGTGCGTGCGTGTGTGTGTGTTAGATGCTCTGTTCAACTACTGGAATAAAGCTTCACCCACAGACCTGATGAACTTCTTCAGTCTGCTGGAGTAAGTGCTGCACACACACAAACTTTGCTGATTCTCATTCTGTACAAATGACATGATCTCATAACCCTAAACACAACACTTACACACACACACACACACACACACACTTCTGTCTGGTCATTAATTTCTCCTCTGTTTTCAGAGTTTGTCTTCATCAGTTCAGATACATGGGAAAGAGACAGATCTCCAGGTAATGTTTATTCATTCATTCATTCATTCATTCATTTTCCTTCAGCTTAGTTCCTTTATTCATTAGAGGTCACCACAGTGGAATGAACTGCCAACTATTCCAGCATTTGTTTTACACAGCGGGTGCCTTTCCAGCTGCAACCCAGCACTAGGAAACACCCATATGCAGTCATTCACGCACACACGGGAAGAACATGCAAACTCCACACAGAAACGCCAACTGACCCAGCCGAGACTTGAACCAGCGACCTTCTTGCTGTGAGGCTGCAGTGCTAACCACTGAGCCACTGTGCCGCCATGTTTATTTATTATAATTATTAATGATAATAATAATTCTTCATATTATTACTGTTATTAGAATTATTATTTTTATTATTATTATTATTATTATTATTATAACAATAATAATATATTTAAAATATTATAAAACAAAATATTATTAATATAACAATAATAATAATAATAATAAATATAACAATAATAATAATAATAATAATAATAATAATAATAATAATTATTATTATTATTATTATTACTAATATTATAATTATTATTATTATTATTATTATTATTATTATTATTATTATTATTGCTATAATAATAACAATAATAATAATAATAATAATAATTATTATTATTATTACTAATATTATAATTATTATTATTATTATTATTAATATTATAATTATTTTCACTATTATTATTGTTGTTGTTATTATTATTATTATTATTATTATTACTTTAATAATAATAATAATAATAATAATTATTATTATTATTATTAGTAGTAGTAGTAGTAGTAGTAGTAGTAGTAGTATTAGTATTATTATAATATATTTAAAATATAAAATATAATATTGTTAGTATAATAATAATAATTATAATAATAATGTAATATTTATTATTGTTACTATTATTATTATTATCACTGTTATTTTAATAATTAATATTATTTATAATATTATAATATTTTATTCATGTTTTTCTTTTTTTATACATACATAATTAAATAAAACACAGAATGAATAATCTACAGAAAGATATGCCATTGTGCTGATGTAAAAATATGTTGGTGTATGTGTGTGTTTGTATGTGTGTGTGCGTGTGTGTGTCAGCAGAACTCTGGAGGGATTGGGGCCGGTGGCTCATGAGCGGCGCTCTCAGACTCTGCCAGTGTCCCGCAGCAGAACTGGAGCTTTACACATGAGACTGCAGCAGCTCAACAGCCTGGACAACTCATACACATACAACCACAGTGAGACACACACACACACACATGCTTCTACACACACAGATGCTTCTACTGTACAGCTCATAGGAGACAATCTGCACTTTTACTCTCAACCTTTTCAAAAGACGTCAGTTTTTATGATTTTTTCGTGTGTTTTTTCGTGTGTGTTTGTGTAGCTTACAGTCATTCAGATGCTGAGGTGTTGAATCAGTGTGTGTTGGAGGGGAATATTGCTACAGAGGTTTGTCTGACAGTTCTGGACACACTGAGCATCTTCATCATGGGCTTTAAGGTCAGACATCACCATCATCACCATCATCATCATCATCATCATCATAAACATAGTCATTCAAGCCTTTAGGAACTCAGCTTTGATAACAGTGTTATGTGTGTGTTTGTGCATTTGTGTATGTGTGTGTTTGTGTTTGTTTGTTTTTATGCTTGTGTGTTAATATGTGTATGTGTGTGTGTGTTCAGACTCAGCTGAGTTTAGATCACGGCCACAATCCCCTGATGAAGAAAGTCTTCCAGGTTCATCTGTGCTTCTTACAAATCAACCAATCAGAGACAGCCCTCAAACAGGTCTTCACTTCCCTGCGCACCTTCATCTACAAGGTCAGTGACACACACACCAACACACACACCATCACAGACACACACGATAAGCACACTGAAAGTGCCTGATGTTGATCCACTCACACTGCTGTATTTTCTGTCTTTTCTGTGTGTATGAATGTATGTGTGTGTGTGTGTGCATGTGTATATTTATGCATGTGTGTGTGCGTATGGATATTTATGTGCATATATATGTGTGTGTGCATGTGTTTATGTATGTATGCATGCATGTGTGTATTTGTGTGTCTGTTCAGTTTCCGTGTACGTTCTTCGAGGGCCGTGCAGACATGTGTGCGCTCTTCTGCTATGAGATCCTGAAGTGCTGTAACTCCAAGCTGAGCTCCATCCGCAGCGACGCCGCGCACCTGCTCTACTTCCTCATGAAGAGCAACTTCGACTACACCGGACGCAAATCCTTCGTGCGCACACACCTGCAGGTGGACAACACACACACACCTTCATCACACCAGTCTGATAAGAGAAGTCTGGGTTCATGCTATTGAGTTAACATGTTGCTTTAAAGGGGAGCTATTATGCAAAAATCACTAATTAAAGGGGTTTAACTCCAGTTGTGTGTCAGCAGTGTGTGAATATCTCCAGCCTCTAATGGTCAGCATGTATTAATTGTGTTTGTTCTAATCAGACTTGATGAAAGCAGTCTGCAGAAACACTGTGATTGACATTCTCCCTTTAAATGATGTCATCAGAAGAGGAAAGCCCCGCCCACTAGTGACAATCTCTCCCTCATTAGCATAGGATGTTAGTCTTGTTTTGAATCTGCCACTATGCTGACACACAGGAATTTGTAGCTCCGCCCTCTTCTAAAAGGAGCACAATCTCATTTGCATTTAAAGCGACAGACACCAAAACACCACAGTTAGGATCAAAGCCTGAAAGGGTCATTTTCAGAGAGCTGGAGAACACTATCTGTGGGGTATTTTCAGCTCAAACTTCACACACACACACACACACACTCTAGAGACAGCAGAGAAGCATCTTGTATATATGGGCATAATAGGCAAAATAGACTAAATGATTTGCCCTTCTGTGATTTATTTACATATGTTTATCTATTGTAATATTTCTCAAGTCATGTTTAACAGAGCAAAGACATTTTTCACAGTATTTCCAGTAATAATACTATTCTGAAGAAAGCCTTATTTTTTTAATTAGGGTTGAATATATAAAAAAATAATAATATTAATAATAATGTAAAAACTGCTAATGTTTAATATTATTATCCCCTCATGGATGTAATTTATTTTTCATGATGTCATTGGTGATCCCGCAGGTGGTGATTGGCGTCAGTCAGCTGATCGCTGATGTCATCGGAATAGGCGGGACGAGATTCCAGCAGTCGCTGTCAATCATCAACAACTGCGCCAACAGTGACAGAACCATCAAGGTTATTATATTCACATTCACACACACACACTGAGGCGTTCACTGTGATTGTGATGCTGGCGGATTTTAATTATAGCGCAGCTGCAGTTTTAGGATTTTGAAGAAATTTACTATTGACATTTAAAGTTGAAGTGCTTTGAAATAGGGCTGTTTGATAAGGGCAAAAGAAACCGATCACGATTTTCTTGAGCAATATTGGGATTTCAGTTTTAATCATTCATTCATTTTCTTGTCGGCTTAGTCCCTTTATTAATCAGGGGTCGCCACAGCAGAATGAACCACCAACTTATCAAGCATGTTTTTACAGTGTATGCCCTTCCAGCTGCAACCTATCTCTGGGAAACTTCCACACACACTCATTCACACTCATACACTACGGACAATTTAGCCTACCCAATTCACCTGCACCGCATGTGTTCAGACTGTGGGGGAAACCGGAGAACCCAGAGGAAACCCACACGAACACAGGGAGAACATGCAAACTCCACACAGAAACGCCAACTGACCAAGCCGAGGCTCAAACCAGCGACCTTCTTGCTGTGAGGCAAGATCTACTGCGCCACTGCGTCGCCCAGAACAACCAATAACATTTAGTTTTATAAGTGCTCTGCCAGTGAAAGTGCTTGAGCTCAAATGCATTAAATTAACAGCCAATGAGAAGAAAGGGGAGGGGCATGTCAGACACTAGAGAGCTTTTGATTGGTCAGAAGATTTGATGAGAGACTGAAGTATGAGCTGATGTGAATAAATCCGTTGATCCATTAAGTGACAAACTACAAGCTTTACTAGTTTATATCAGGTTTATATCATCTAAAGGTGAATTTTGGAGCACACTAGATTATAGATATCCTTTAACTAACATACTGAAATAATAACATCTAGATGACTTTATTTTAATGTCATTGGACCTTTAGTCATATACATTTTTATTTGTTTAGCAGACGGTTTTATACAAAGCATCTGCCACCGCACACACACACACACACACACACACACACACACACACACATGCTCTGTCTGTCTCTCCTGCAGAATACAGCGTTTCCGTCTGATGTGAAAGACCTGACCAAGAAGATCCGCACGGTGCTGATGGCCACGGCGCAGATGAAGGAGCACGAGGGCGACCCGGAGGTTCTGGTGGACCTGCAGTACAGCCTGGCCAAATCCTACGCCAGCACACCTGAGCTGCGCAAGACCTGGCTGGACAGCATGGCACGCATACATGTCAAGAACGGAGACCTGTCTGAGGTGCACACAAACACACACACACATGCACACACACACAGACCTGCCAGAGATTCACACACAAACACACACACGTCCAGAATGGAGACCTACATACATACATACACACACACACACATATATATATATATATATATATATATATATATATATATATATATATATATATATATATA